CAACCCCCCCCACCCCGAAACCAAAGTTTCTCAGCGGATTTGGGCTGTACTCGGCAAGCGCAGTACAGACCCGAAGTCAGAACAAAAAAAAACTCAGAGGAAGACTGTTTTCTGAGCCGTCGGCTACCGCCGACCGGTCGGGGATGCTACCCTGCGTGTTATTGATTCTCAGAAGATTTTTTTATAAGCTAACGGATAGTACTAATAATAAAACAAAGTAATCCCGGGTGATAAGAGGGCATGTCAGTTACTATCAAATTTGTTGAAGCGGAACTATCTACTTTATATTAGTTTATAAGAAAAAATGGATGTCCGCCGCAGACGCGTTGGAGGCCATGAAAGACTCGTTGTTATGCAGTTCCGTTGCCAAAAAAGAAAAAAGAAGCATGGCCAACATCAGCGACAATTTGGCCCTTGGCACGACCTGATGGCTACATGTGGGCTGAGCTATATTGTGTGGCCCAGTTGATATCATCCGGGTTCGGTCATAGCGCATTAGTCGGGTCATTCAATGCAGACCGGGTGCCACTATGTGGCATCTGGGTCGGGCGCTAGCATGTGGGGCATGTCAAACTATGTGGACTGGGTGGTACCCTGCCGGCAACGCGGCATTATGTGGCATGGGTTGGTCATGCTATGTGGACTCAGTGGTAACGTGTTGGGCAGTAGTACGTGGGGGGTGGTAGTACATGGGAGGACTCCTAGTATGTGGTCTGGATGACAGCAGATGGACTGGGCAGCATGGCTCTGGCAAGTGGGCGATGCTAGTGGGCTGCATGGTACAACCGACCCCCTCCGACAAACAGGAAAAAAACACAAAAACCAAACAAAAGCCAAGTTCATCAATTGTCGGTAAAGTCACCTGAGCTGGAATCCAACAAAGTGAGAAATGAAAACAACTCTGAGATCCTCGCCAATTCCGAAGTGCAAATGCACAAAGAAATACAATGCCATCCAATTGCAAAAAGAAATAAATGAACGTGAGAGGAGAGAGAGATAAAGTAAGCAGAAGAGAAAAGAAGGGAAAGCTAGGGCGCAGTCATGGTTTCAGTTTGAAAATGCACTTCAGGCACAATTTGCGAATGTTGTGTCAAAGCGTGGAAAATGGTGAATGTATACAACCTGGCTGTAGGGTCTGGTGGGGGTGTGTTGTATTCGAGGGATGCCTGAAGTGGATTTTAAACTGAAATCGTGTCTGCGCCCAAGTTACCCCTTGCACACCAGCAAAGGACCAATGAATGGCTGAACCAGAACCAATGTCCAAGTCTCCTCCCTTACTGCCGTCACCACAGGAGGTCCATCATAGCCAAGTCCAACAATTAGTTCTCCGTCCTCCAGCTAGGGGCTATGGCGGACATCAGGGCCAGCCCCTGATGTTCAAAAGGCAAGGCAAAGCTCTAGTGTCCCTTCTTGGCACCACCATGCCAACCATCTGTCCTCGAGTCTTCTTGTAGCAGCGCTCCATAACTAGGGCCGTCCAGCAGCAGCGCCAACCAAGAAGATGAAGATGGGGACCTTCATAGCCAGGTAAGTACCTCGTCACTCTCCTCCTTCGCCCCCGTCTTCCTCCTCCTCAGGCTGGGCAGCTTGCCGTAGCCAAGCTGAGCGTCTAGCTCCTCCTTCCTCCTCCCAGTGGCGCTCTGAGAATCAGCACCCGCTCAAGCAGCATGACGCCCAAACATGCACACCACAAATGAGGCTGAGCCCTTGCCTCAGCCAGAAGATATAGCGAGGCAACTTGCCTCTTGCTCGGCGACTTCCAGGTCGCTCGGCCCCTCAAGCAACCGTTTCCCTCCTCCTTTCAGAGGGAAACATCATTGCAGGTCTGATATCATGCACACAGGCCCTAGACTCAGGCTACTTGGACTGGTACCCGCGTACCTAGGCCTACTGGTTCCTCGGCCTCTAGCAATTCTTACTTTTGTCTTCTTCTGCTAGGCCTACCGCTACTTGAGTGCTACCGGCCTAGCCTACCCGCTACTTGAGTGGCCCTAAGCTACCCCTCCAGCCACAGTGTTTCCCCGCTGCAACCCTCAAAATTCACGGCCAGAGGTAAGTACCGGCCCCGCAGGCCTCTTTAAACACACAAGTGCCCTGGCGGGCCACACACACACTCGGGCAGACGTGCACTCCTATAGGCACTCAGAAACAAGCAAACACATTCGTACACGGGGCAGGGTTGCATAGCTGCCAACTGCCGACCCCGACCGCCGACCGTTTTGCAGCCGACCAGTAGGGCTGACCGGTCGGCGGTCTGGCGACCAGTCAGAAAACAGCCATCCACTGATTTCTTTTCAGATCTTTGTTGGGGGCTGTGCTGCGCGGTATGGGGGGGTTGTGTGTGTGTGTGTGGG